CTGCTGCGGCCTCGGGCAGCTGGCACAGCCCTGCGGTGCAGTTTAAGCGAAACTCCCAGCTGGAGTTGCCTCCTCCAGAGCCCAGCGAGTCCCAAGAGCGGGACCAGCAGCAGCACAGGGGCAGAAGCATCTCCAGCATCCACCGCCTCAACGCGAGAGCAACGCTCGCCCGGCCGGGATGATGCCGGAGCAGGCACACGGCTCCAGCCGCCGCAGTCACATGCGGAGGTTGGAGCATCACCAGTATCCATGCCGCCCATTCCCGGCACGGCCACCGCTCCCGTGGCAAATGGGAGTCCCCCCAACTCCGCTTCCGAAGGGCACGCCAGCACGAATAACCGGCGAGACGTCGTGCCTTGGGCAGCGGGGACTCTGCCCACCGACTGTCATCGCCAACGTACAGTTTGGAATTGCCTCTCCCTTCCCCTGGCCCAGGGCTGGCAGGCACCTGGAGGCCACCAATGTCACTCGAGGCACGTGCTGCCATCGCTCCGCCAGCCTTCAGCTCTGCACCCTCCCGGGAAACCCAGGGTGGAAGGAGCACATGGAGCGGGAGCCTGGGCACGGCAGCCATGCCCACAGCCCCCTTGGTCCGTGGAAGGTGGGATAAAACCCTCCCAGAAGAGCAGGAGCACCCACCTGGAAGCCAGCCAGCCTTCCCCAGACACCTGCGGCCTTACACGCGAGCGTCGGGGTTGGTGTCCGGGCGCGAAGCCTTGGGACGAGGAAGGAAAGCGCTGGGAGCAGGTACGGGGGAGCCATGGAAGTGGTTCTCCAAAGGAGACACGTGTGAAGGAGGAATGTCCCATGGTTTGGCACCGTTCAGAGACAAAATTCATTTGTGGGCAAAGGGAAATAAGCTGAAAGGCCCCGCGCAAGAGAGGGCTGTGGCAGTGGGGCAAGAACTGCTGCACACCAGCATCCGGGGATGCCTCGATCCAAAGGCCCAGGGAGCAGCACGGCGCTCCAGGTCTCCGCAGAGCACGGAAGCAAACCAAGCACCACCAAGGTTTCTCAAGCTGGGATCTTGGGTTGGTTGGTTTTTTTCCCCCTCCCCATTCAGGAACTTAAGCCAGAGTCTACGTTGGCTGCAGCTGGAAAACAGCCTGTCCCGGGGAGAGCTGGCGAGGGCTCAAGCACGCCGTTCCCTAGCTACGCGGTTGTCACAACTCCGGCTGCACACTTTAACCTTTACGCTTTTCACGGGTGAGGGAGGCTCGGCGTGGCCGAGCTCTGCCCCTTCTCCAGGAAACACTACACCCCGTCTAAATCGAGCAGCGGGGCAGGCGAGAACAACATCCCGGCCTGAGCCCCGGCCAAGCCAACCTGTCCCGGCAGGCGCCGACCTGGGCACGCCGGCAGCGGCT